TATTTTATCCCGATCTCAGTCCTTTTCTTAAATTTATCTTTAGGTAAAATATCTCTACATATTGCATAATTATTGACCGAATAATAATAGAATAATTTTTATATTGATCTTAACTGTCAGATGGATTTCATCATAATCTCAAACGTTAGGATGTATTTCATTCTTATCTCAAATTTATCTTTAGGTAAATCTTTACACATTATTCAGTATATAATAATGAACATTACTTAGGAAGTAACTCAAAATTTTCAATTTATTTCAAAATCAAATCAAATATTCTATAATGGAGGTTCATCTAATAATAAAGATGAAAATTCCTCTTCATCATCATCTTTAAATTTAAGTGATACTATTGCAGAAGCACATCAAGTAATCTTGCAAAATATTTACTTGAACAATTATATGTTGCAAAGAATATCAAAATAATGAAGTTTTCGGAGTTGGCTCCGTTCCAGGTAAAAATGCGCTATTAAAGATACCTATCTTTAAATAATCCTTGATCATTTTATTATAACAGATTTTAGTCACTATAAATAAATCTAATAAAAGTATGAAATTCGAATTCATAGAAATTTGAAACAGAGATCTACAATTTGAAAGCGTACGGTACTCCATACAGAAGGGACCAAAAAAGGAAAAATAATGCTGACTCTTTAAGCTGGTGAAATGACTATATTAGCCCTACCACGCTAGATCGACGTATTACATTCCAATATTCCATCTTTATCAAGATTTCTCAAATAGCATCACAACGGCCCCTCAATTCTCCTTAATAGCACAATAAGGTTAAAACAGTCATTACAGAGTAAACCACAACAAGGCGTTAGCCCATTTACAAAAAAGCCCCTAAATCACCAGATCTCGACACGTGTCCTCACTCTTCCTCCACTATACATCCCAAAGGCCCCGATCCTACCCCCGAACAAACACATAGAAAGCACAATAAATTTGAACCAATAGATTCAAGTCACACGGATCGATGACATGGCAACAATTTGAAATCCCGCCCAAACGGAACCGGACTTGAAAATTTCATTGCTTATATTCAATTTTATGAATAGAGAAAATTTCTTTTGAGTCCCTAACCAAAGCCCCTTCTTATCTCTTCCCCTTTCAGCCCACAACACACACACACACACAACGGGCATATAACTCTTTCTTTGTTTCTCTCTCGTTCTCTATTCCATATCTTATTATTCTCAACCCTAAAGGTAACTCGTTAACTCACCGCGGCCCTGACTCGGCCGAGTCGTACCGTTTTTCGCTGATTTTCAACCGATTCTCACCGATTTTTCTCGTTTTATTGCAGGTTTAATCATGAAAGGAGGTAAATCAAAGGCTAAATCTGATAACAAGTGAGTATTGTTTTGCTTTTGATGTATTGTTTCGTATTTGAGTTTTAGATCTACGATTGAGGTGTGCGAATGTGATATGTATGCATGTTTTGAATTTGTATGATTTTGTAAGTTTTTTAATGATTATAATATGCTTTTGGCTAATTATTACAGCCTATTTATTATATCTGAGATATTTTCTGTTTATTTTGGATCTACTCTTTTGTTTTTAATGATTTTAATATGTTTTGGAGTATCACGACAGCTTGTCAGATTTAAATCTGTTATATTTTCCGGCGTTGTTGGCCTATGATTTTGTATGATTTTTTATTTTCGTTTTAATGTGATTTTGACGAATTAATAAACGAATGTATATTGTTATTTGGTAGTATTTCTCATTTATCTTGTTGATTTTTGATGATTTTGATGTGATTTTGGTTCCTTGTTGATGGCTCTTCATGTATATTGTTGATATTTTCTAGTATTTTCTAGTACTAGCATCCTATATTTTCTCATTTTTATTTGTTTAAATTGGTATTTATGGATTATTACAGGCTCGGCGTTAAGAAGGCAGCTCCCCAGACTAAGAAGGAGAAGCAGGCTGCCAAGGATCCAAACAAGCCTAAGAGGCCAGCAAGTGCTTTCTTTGTTTTCATGTACACACCTGAACGCTTGTCATAGTCGTTTTGGGTGACTATAATATGTTTGTAATTCCCAAATTTAATCGTATTTTTTTTTTGTGATATGCTGAATAAAGGGAGGACTTCAGGAAGCAGTACAAGGAAAAACATCCAAACAACAAATCTGTAGCTGCTGTGAGTATTTTTCCCATGATAGATCCAAACTGTTTCTCGTTTTTGTATTTGACGTAGTTTTGATTGATTAATTTTTTCTGTGTAATCATTTGTAGGTTGGTAAAGCTGGTGGAGACAAGTGGAAACATTTGTCAGATGCTGTAAGTATCTACTTTTCAGTATTTAGCTTATAATAATTTTATTTGTCTGCACACAATATTTCCGTGACATCAGTTTATTATTGACTAACTGGGTTAGTGAAAATTCATGTTTGCCGATTCCTAACTTGTTTGAGAATAGTAGCATAAGCTTTCTTAAGTTTTTGGTAAGCCTTGCTTCGTTTTCGGCCAAATGCTGATTTTGTTTTGCTTCTCCTGATCGTCTAGCCTATTTAGCATTCTGCTTTCCTGATCTATATCAATCCCCAATTATGTTTCATCAATTATTTCGTTCTGTAATATGAATTTAGGAGAAAGCCCCTTACATAGCAAAGGCAGAGAAAAGGAAGGCTGAATACGAAAAGAACATGGATGCTTATAACAGGCGACAGGTGAAATCCTTGTGTATGGTTACTTTATGTCTCTATTTTATGATGTGCTTTTGGTGCTAAAGAACTCTTTTGTTCTTCTGTATAGGCTGGTGAAGCTGAAGATGAGGAATCTGACAAGTCAAAGTCTGAGGTTGACGAGGAAGAAGGAAGTGACGAGGTTTGTTTTTGTGATGAAATGATCATTTGTTTCTTTGCTGTTTTTTTTGGTTTTGGTGTATTGATTTTAATTTTGTTTGCACAGGAGGAGGAAGATGATGACTAAAGGAAGTGTTAGTGGATGAAGAAATTGGTGAAGGGGCTGTGTAATATCTTAGATATTTCCATATATGACTTCCTCTTTTTCCTATTAAATACTTGTCTTTTGTTGTTTTATCTTTTTGGGTATCGGTAGGGTATGGGAAAAGATGAAATTAGAAAAGTGCTGCCTTTAAAGCTCAAATGACTATGTACTTTTTAATTTGATGCTGCAGCTTAATGTTAATTCGGATAGGCCTTAGTTCTTTCTTGGCCAGTATATGGAAATCATGTGTTTTGCCCATTAATTTTGTAGCTTGTTGGTCAAAAATATCTTTGGTATTGATTTTTTTGCTGGTGATGTTTTCTTTTGATCTCCAGAGGGTAGGTTTTTAGTCTGCTTTTTTATCTTTTTTCTTTTCCTTTGGGTGGTGGTCGGACCAGTTCTCATCCTTATAGATCGTACCAAATGTGCGAAAATATCTTCCGCCTGTTCAATCGGATAAAGTAATTGTGCATTCCAAGTTGTCTTTCTTTTTGATGTTGAGTTTATCACCATCTGACTTCTTGCTCTTGGACCCACCTTTTCGCTGAAGTATGAATAATTTGTCTGTTATGGATTTATCCCTTTTTTTCCGTTTCTAATTCACTTTGGCAATGTGTTGCCAGGTGCTGTACTTACACTGTTTTACTTGCATTTAAGCTGTTTTAGGTTTCATTTTTTGAGTCTGATGTGTTTAATATTAAGAGCCTGTTTAGACATAACAATTGTTTTTTGAAATTAGCGTTCACTTGAGAATTTAAAAATTATTTTTTAAAATTTTTACTTAAATCACTCATAAAATTTCAAAAATAATTCAAAATTATATTTGTTCAAACACAATTCAAAATTACAAATGCTATTTTCAGTTTGAAAATTTACAGTTCTTATGTCCAAACGCTCACTTAGTGACTAGTGGACAAAGTTTGTGGGGTAGAGTTGGAAAGAGACTTCTCGCCTTGAAACTAAAGATTTATTTGTCGTATTTGCAATGATACTGTTGTTATTATACTAATTGTAATTATTCGGAGTGGAGAATATATACCCCACCTATTATATTCCAAAGTCAGTTGCTTTTCAAAACGGAAAATGTTTGCTAACAAGATTGTGCCTAAAGAAAATGTACATACACTGCTCTGATTCTATGGCATTTCCAAATGATGTGATTTGCTTGACTAACAGGGAAGAAAAGAAGGTGAATGTTTTGTAGATTGTATAAGTTTCAATCAATTTTGTAGAAAAAAGTAAGAGACTTTTCGCTGATGAAGTAGGGAATTCAATAAGTTTTAACTGTTTATACCGTTACCTTAACGCAAAAGAAAGATGCAACCATTTCAAAACTATACCATTTTTAACTAATATGATTTTGTTATCCTAATCATAGTAAGTGCTAGTTTTTGAAGAATAAAATCTGAATTCAGTCTCTTGAAACATCATCATGACAGTGCTTCATATGAATTAAGAAGTGCTTTTAATAAGTTGTTGATTTGCAATTTTAGTCATACTAGAATAAGATTAAGTACAAATCGAGCACGAAACTCACAACATGTGGGAACACTTAAGAAAATAAATTTAAATGTACAATATATAAAATTAAATGAAAAGAAGCACGGGAAGCATAAATTAAAAGGTCGCTGAAAGTTTTCCTTTAATTAATCGACTGTAACCTGTTTTCTTATTTAGTTTTTGCAGGTGGTATTCAATAAAGGGACTTTTTAACAAGATTCCTTCTCGTTTTAGGAGAACAATTATTCGTTTTAAAAAGAATGTCGAACATCTTTGGTGCAGTATTTACCGTGTAAATGGTTTTTCCAAATAAGTACTAACTTTTATTGTATGGAAAATTGTCAAATTTATCCCCGTGTCATTCGAAATTGAATAACTTTATCTTTGTTAAACTTTACTCTAATATTACTCGTGCCATTAACAAAAGAATAGTTTTTTTCTTGGCCCCTAATTGAGCTCCAAAGTGAGATAGTTATAACTATAATCAAAACTTGAGGTATAACTTTGGATATTTTTCTCAAAAACTTTGGTCACGTGAAATTTACTTATTTTATGCTGAAGTTTCGTTCAATGCAAAAGGCAAATACGTGACTATTTACAAACGTCAAAATATAAATGGACCACCCAAGCAGGAAACTCAACAATCACAAAAATCCCTAGTCCCATGAACCAAACTACCCCTTTAATTTATAAGAATTATGTATGCTATTTTAGAAATCAATAATCAATAAATAAAAGATAAAATAACGAGGCTGCCGGTTCATTTTGATGTCTTTGCTCGGTTTTTTCCGGGTTGGGATGTGTGGAGACTTGAACCGTCTGTAAAATCATTGATTGATTCTTCAGTGAGGCGAAAATGGCCGCTACAGGAAAATGCTTCCTTGTCACTGGCTCTCCTGTATACTCTTTTTCCGCTTCTTATCTACCATTTTTGTTACTTTGTATCAAAATCTGAAATTGACGCACTTTTTTGTTGTTTTTGCAGGGTATTGGAAAGACAACTTTGATAGTTAGAGTACTCGAAACCCTCAGAAATTCCAATCCTAATTTGAAAGTCCAAGGTTTCTATACTCGTATGTTCTCTCTCTCTCTCTCTCTCTCTCTCTCTCTCTCTCTCTCTTCATTTGTTCCTGTTTATAATGTTAGCTGTATATATATATTCTCAATATCTCTAATTATACTATTTGGAGTGTCTCATTTACAAATATATACTATGATTGGATAACTCTAAGTTGTTGATTTAAATTTGGTGAAGGGGAGATTAGAGAAGGAACAGAGAGGGTTGGGTTTGAGGTTGTGACGCTTGATGGTCGTAAAGGGATTCTTGCTTCTAACAAAATCTCCAGGTGCTTCTCCTTTCTACCTAATTACTACAGTAATTTCTTTACACATGCATACCCGGCTTATCTATTTGTTTTGGTATTTTATCTTGAGTGGATTGGTAAATAACCATTGTCTTTGTATAAGCTCAATAGATAATAGATTTTTTCTTGAGTAAAACATTTTGCAAAAAAAGGATACGTGGTAGATGTGCTTATAAAAGCTATGGTTTGTTGCTTAAAGCGATGAAATGATGCGAAATTAGGGGTTATCATCACTTCATGGCTAAACCATGCCTTCAGAGAAGCGTCGTGATTCCAATAAATTGTGCGCTTCACTTATCATTTTTTCACTTCAAGCCTTGTGGATCTTGTCACTTTTTTGGGCTCGTCGCTTTTAAAAACAATGCAAGGTAGATATATAAGTGCTGGTTGTTGAACCAAGTGTGGTTGTTAGGTGAAGAAGGGTGGAAAAGTTTGGTGTCATCCTTGATTTGCTGAAGCAACAAATTTCTCGGTCAAAAGGAAAAAAGTAAAAGAAAGAAAAGAAAGGAAAAATGTAGAAGTGCTTGCGGAAAGTATAATAGTAGAAGGTTGCCATTGCAGGTCATGAATTGAGATGGACCACTGTAATGACAGGCAGACGATGAAAGATTCGGGTTTATTGGCTTGGTGAAATTGGGGTTCTTGGTAACAAACGGCTTGTTGAACCCTCCTCTAAACTCATAACTCCAATAACATTCTGGCTAGATATTGGACATAAAAGTATGTTTAAACCAGTTCGGACATCCCAAAGCAATATGGTTAAAATGGAAAGAGATTTTGTACTGTTTAGAGAGGTTGAAGTACGAACAGCCAAGAACAACATCACTACAAGTTCGAACATTTTCTTGCAAACCAAACCAATGGCGAAGAAAAGGGATAAGAAGCATTAGGAGAATATTGCCAATGATCCCTACCATTATAGCCCTTGTTTATTCTTTCCTTGACCTGTCCACCATTTGAATCTTGGATGACGGATTGTTAGAAGAAGTTTTGGGCGGACATAGAAGGTCCGCTTTGTGTCAAGAGTATGCTGCTAATAAGCTGTTTAAGGAGTGAAGTTATCCGAGGTAGCTGTATTGATATGTGCTTCCTCAGTTAATAGGGGCTGCGAGATTATGAATGATGGCATTGACCGGTGGCATTAGGCCTGGAAACAGAAGTGTGACGTAAGAGGGGTAATCCTTGCATAGTTTGAGTCACACCATTTTCTGACAGGTTTTTCAATCCTTTGGAGGTTTCACAAGGTCGTCAAGAACAAGGGGTGAGAGACTAGTATCAATCCAGTTAAGGGTGACAGTGCTGTACTGAATCCGTAAACAATACTCATCGTGAGTGGCTGATGGGCATGGAATGGAACCATCCACCAAGAAGATGAGGTATTGGCCTTTTAGCATAGTGAAAAAAGAAGAGGAGGTAATGCCTTTATAGTATAGTGAGAAAACCTTCCTGGTGAGGTAATTTGTGTAGTTAAATTCAATTGGTAAAAATCCTCTGATGTTGGAATAGTCGCGCGGAAGATCAACGGAAGATTGATGGGAGTGAATCCAATAGAGGAAGAATAAAGAAACCTTGGTTTTGATATCAAGTTGAGACTATACAATATAATGTTTATAGTACTTTCTTATGATGAAGCAATAATTTAGTGACGTCCCTCTAAGAAAAAGTAATATTTAGTGATGTTGTTTACACAATCGTATAAAAAAAGTATAGCAAACTCTCATATTGCTGCACTCAAGGGTATGGCTAGTGGTCAGTGAAGTGGGTGCAACTTGGAGACAAAGAGTTCGAAAACCAGTAGAGATAAATAACACCAGGTAATTTTTTCCTATATGCCTAAGTCTTGGTGATCGAAGTTACTCGGTACTTGTGCCGATAAGAGGTAACACGTAGCTGGTGGACGAGTCGAGGCCCGCACAAATTAGCCTGGACAACACCTCTATTAAAAAAGAAAGCTCACCCGTACCCACATAAGTTTTAGGGGGCTACATTCCAAGCTATACATTTACTTCTTCTCCTTTTAAATGTCAGCAATTTGACATTCTTCCCTTCATGTTGCTCTTCTGTACCGCATCTCCATAAGGTCAAGTGTTATTTTCGAATCTCCACTGCTCATCATAATGCCTGGTCCTCTGTCCCAAATATCCATTTGTCACTTGCCTGGTAATGCTCTTTTGAAGTTCTTAAATCATTTACTCCGCACCCTCCAACAGCCAACAGATCAAAGTGGATGTGACCACGTTTGATTTACCATATGAAATTTTGTGTCCCATTGTTCCACGGGAAGTTTATCTGAAGTTTTTCCAACATTTCAGTTATACTTGTCAGTGTGAGTATCAGGAACATGTAATATGTTGCGATACTTGCTAGTGTACTCTTGATCAAGACTTAACCACTTTGGACAAATACCTTTTCTTTACCCCACTCAACTTGTCCTGTTCTTTCAATCACAACAATCTAAACTGTAGGCCCCTGTTTGATGCTCCTAACGGTAGCCCTATTATAAGTTGTTGGAAGTGCTTTTATCCTGTGGTTGAACACCTGCACTAATCGCTTAATGTGTCCACCTCTCTCATTAGTAGAATCTCACGCATCTTTAGATTGATTTTTCAGCCTCCAAACTACTTGGACCACATTAGGATCTGTCTCAGGTAAAGATAACTAGAGTATCTCAGCATTACAAAATTTGCACATATAAGGGTATCATCTGCAAACAAGAGCCAGAGTCTAACTTATCATTAATTCTAACTCCTGCCGTAAAGCCCTTCAAAGAACCTTCTGCCACCGCTTTGTCCATCATCTTGCTCACTCCATCGTCATAATGAGTCTCGGCCTCAACCTTCTGGAGCTGTCGAGAAAACCACACGGGCTCCCATAGACCAGGACTCAGAACCTCATCTACGATATGCAAAACTTATCCATTTTCTCTGCTGTTCTCCAGAAACATCTTCAACATCTCAAAATCCTAGAAATTCTAGTTCACGTGATAGTTGACCGTTTGAAGGTCTAATTTGCATAGGAAAGTTGGTTCCCCTTCTTTTCTTCTAGTACTTATCGAGAAATTTATTCCCCGTCAAGTTATCTGAAAATGCATTTCTATTGCGAAAATGGTAATGATATCCTAATTAATTATGTCTCGAAGTATCTCTTGCCCTATATAGTATTATTCCACGAGAATTTTATGAATTGAGAGTACTAATGTTATGGAGATGTTTTGTTCAGACTATTTCTTTTGTTGTTGTATCCATTGGTTTTTAGTTGTGGGAGGAATGAGAAGACTGAATAATTAGCTGTTTATCTACCAGTCCTTTTTCTCTCTGATGAATGATGTCAAATTTGATTCAGGTTGCTAGTTTCTGATAACATACTCTTCTTCAAGTTCCGATTTTGGATCATTATATGCAGCATGAGTAACTATGGTTGAGTTATTTTCTTGTGAAGTGATAACAAAAATGTCAAAAGTTTTAGCTTACATATTAGGGTTGTTTTCTAGTTTAGGCCAGCAATATTTTGAATTATCTGACTATGTTCCCATCAATAATAGCCTGATTTTGGTATAATTCTTTCATATTTGCTGCAGCGTTTTTAGCCATGCAGCCCAGAGTCTCTCAGATGGCCCACTGTGGGAAGATACAGGGTAGATGTTGTGTCATTTGAGTTGCTGGCATTGCCAGAGTTGCAGGTCGGTTGAGTTTTTCGGCAGGATTTTATTGCCTCATAAGAGGGTCTCTGACATTGCTATCCTTTGCTTTGAGCGATAATTTTTTTTTGTGGCTTTCTTTAATAGTTTATCTTGATTGTAAATTATAAAACATTTAATTTGTCTCATGACAAGAGTGGGTTGCTCTAGTGGTGAGCACCCTCCACTTCCAACCAAGAGGTTGTGAGTTCGAGTCACCCCAAGAGCAAGGTGGGGAGTTCTTGGAGGGAGGGAGCCGAGGGTCTATCGGAAACAACCTCTCTATCCCAGGATAGGGGTAAGGTCTGCGTACACACTACCCTCCCCAGACCCCACTAGTGGGATTATACTGGGTTGTTGTATTTAATTTGTCTTATCTTTACTTTATCAAATAAATAAAAGACTTGTCTGATCTGTAGTACATTGTATTTTGCCATTTTGATGGTTCATAAATTTGTTAGGTAAGGGAAGATACTGATCTTTTCATCATCGATGAAGTTGGGAAGATGGAGCTCTACAGTTCCTCATTCTTTCCAGCTGTACTAAAAGTCCTGCAATCCAATATCCCACTCTTGGCTTCTATCCCCATTCCAAAAGCAGGGCGAGATATACCTGGAGGTATTTCCCTCTATCTGTATGTTGTGCTTTTGTGTAGGTCTAGAACTTACTTTATCGCGATCACACTGGTAATTCTATATGCCAAATTCAAATCAATCACATTGGTAACCAAGTATCTATACACTATGGATTCATATACCTGGAGGTATTTCCCTCTATCTGTATGTTGTGCTTTTGTGTAGGTCTAGAACTTACTTTTATCGCGATCACACTGGTAATTCTATATGCCAAATTCAAATCAATCACATTGGTAACCAAGTATCTATACACTATGGATTCATATACCTGGAGGTATTTCCCTCTATCTGTATGTTGTGCTTTTGTGTAGGTCTAGAACTTACTTTTATCGCGATCACACTGGTAATTCTATATGCCAAATTCAAATCAATCACATTGGTAACCAAGTATCTATACACTATGGATTCATATACCTGGAGGTATTTCCCTCTATCTGTATGTTGTGCTTTTGTGTAGGTCTAGAACTTACTTTTATCGCGATCACACTGGTAATTCTATATGCCAAATTCAAATCAATCACATTGGTAACCAAGTATCTATACACTATGGATTCATATACCTGGAGGTATTTCCCTCTATCTGTATGTTGTGCTTTTGTGTAGGTCTAGAACTTACTTTTATCGCGATCACACTGGTAATTCTATATGCCAAATTCAAATCAATCACATTGGTAACCAAGTATCTATACACTATGGATTCATATTCATAGAAGAAATATCTTCTACTTTAGAGTGGTACAACGTCCAAATAGATTTCTGCAAGGGTCTAGAGTCACTAAAGGGGCAGCTCCTGATAGTCCGAAAATGTAAGGTTTTGAAAAAATGCTAATCGAACTTCTTTTACTATTTACCTTCGTTAAAATCAGAAGCTAAGGATAAAAACTCCAAAACTATGTTTGCTAAATAATTCAGCCCCTACATGGTTGTACCTACATAAGCTATCTACTTGACTTCTCTGCCTAATCAACTCATGCCTCTTTTCTTGGTCATTTTTTCACAAATCTTATAGATTGTTAATTTGTTGGGTGTGTTTGTATGAAAAATTTTCCTGGAAAATAAGTGTTTTCTTTTTTTACTTATTTTCTTGTGTTTGGTCAGTAAGCTGAAAATATTGTCCCAAGAGTATTTATATATTTTAGGCAAACACTATAGGAGGCGGGGTGGGTTGGGGTGAGGTAGTGCGTGGGACGGTGGGCAGGGGTTGGNTAGGGAAGTCATTTTGCTGAAATTGGAGAAAATTAGTTCATAAGGAATATATTCTTCCAAACATTTAAGCCAACCAACATAGAAGATCTCCTCCATACCAAACACACCTGTTTGTTTTTATTCTCTGCGTTGACCTCCTTCTATGTGTTCCCTGAATATTGGACTTACAAACCAACATTCTTTTACTTTCTAAAAGAAAAAATAAACCAACGAGTTTCTGGATTCTTGCAGTTGCGAGGATGAGAAATCATCCAGGCGCTAGAGTTTTCACACTCAATGCAAATAACAGGGATGCTATGAGAGAACAAATATATTCCATCTTGGCAGATATGGTGCAAAAGCCTTAGATGATACAGGGCATAATGTTGCAAATGCTGTTTGCTGTTAAACAAACTTGAATCTGATAGTTAATACTTCCAGAAACTTACCTTCCCTATAGGTTGCTTAATCACTCTTTCGTCCTTTGGAGATGCACTATTCAAGAAGACAAGAATGGGAGAAGTGGAATGTTTCCCTTTTCCCTCGAAAGGTCCAACTTTGAACATCATGGGTTGGAATGCTCAGAACTGCTGCTGCGATAGAGAGGAATTGTGAAGAAGAGAGAAAAATGGAACGATGTTTTATAACTCTAACTACAGCCATCTACCTCTTGTCAAATTTCACCAATGTCACAATCTCAATTTCTTTTCTCTATTAGTATGGTGCTGAAAGACAAAGATGTTAGCTTACTGACTGTTCTTATTTGTGGATTGTAATCGTGTGCTTGCAGCTCTTCTGTGAACATTGGAGTTGGGAAATCATTTGTAGATTATGATTGAGCTTTTAGTTCAATTCATATCATTTCCTTTACATTCACTTTTTTGGGACATCAAAAAACAAGAAACCAATATTTGGAGGTGAAAGTGTGATGCCTCTTGTTGAAGTTTACATACTAGGATCACAAAGGAAGGGACCTAAAGTTTTTACATGCCATATTCAGGAGGATGTAGACAAATTTCCTTTTCACTGTTAGTGCAAAACATCACAAGCAAATAGAGGAGCAAATAGATAGTTTTCCTTTTCACACTGTCACAATGTGCTTTTCTCGTTCATCAAATTACATTAATGCAATAAACTTCACCTTCAAACAAGTGCCAAGAGCAGTAGCTTACGCAAGATTTTAAATAAACAATGTTGTTACTACGTTGGGTTTTAAGTTAAATTCATGTCTCGTATTGATGTTTACATTGTATTTATATATGATTGATGACGAGGATCTGCCACTAGTCAGGACCATTACGTTCGTTGCCCTCAGTTGGGTTGATAAGGATTCGTGGAAGTTTACTGGCTCAAGATAAATACTGTTGCTCTCCCTAACGCAGGATTTGCATATATACAGTTTTGGGTCACCATTTAAGTTATACCCGTATTGTATAAAAATTTGCAAGTTTACCTACTTTAAGATCAACTTCAGACTTAGCGCGTTTGAAATTGGAAAAATTCACGTCTGAAGTTGCAAACTTAAGATGCATTTAAGACTGGTTAGTCTGAAGTGCGGCTAATTTTTGCATGCATTTAATATGTACTTGAGACTTAATGCAGCTAATTTTTCTACATGCACTTAAAGATTTTTTAGTCTGAAATGCAAATTGCCTAGAAACATAAACTTGTTCTTCGAATTTCAACAATCACATGATTCAATACCCAAATTTACTTCAAGTAAGCTTAAATTTGAAACATAACTTTCAAATATCATTACATAGTTCTTTATTATTACATACTGTGTCATTCACGTCTGTTACCTTATTATATTGTTGTTACTATTGTTTGCTACTTGGTTGCTTTATCTTCATTGTTGTTCCTTGAGCCGAGGGTCATCGGAAACAGCCTCTCTATCTCTAGGTAGGGAAAATGTCTGTGTACACACTATCCTTTCCAGACCCCATTTATGGGTATATACTGGTTTTTTTTTTTTTTTTGGTTGTTGTATAAAGAACAAACTGAATTATTATTTTGGCAAAACATCAACAAATTATCAAACCTATTTTGCAACTAAGAGGAGAAAGAAGAAGAAACCCTAAGCCGTAGCAAAGAGAGGAGCGCCATATCAGCTCACTATTGTAAAACATCATAAACCACCTTAAAACCTACTCATAAACACCATGTAGATCCATCGTCACCTTTGTTTACACAACAACTAAGAAGAAGAAGAAAAAGAAGAGGAGGAGAAAACGGTATGAAGTTGTCTGTACTTGTGATACTAGTTAAATTTTTTTTTTTTAAAAAAGAGTACAAGTTAAATTGGGGCAACAAAATAGAATGCCCCGTAAATTTTTTACCTCCCTAACGTTTGCTTAAAGGTAAATGGGCCACTTTGTATAACAAGTAATACATGCTCATTGTAGATTGTAGTTACAAATCTTAATTTTGCATACCACTTTAGATTGAAAAGATAACCAATTAGAGGAGTACAAAAAGGCATGAAATCAGAATAAATAGGAATATAAGTTGCATGGTCAGTTGAAAAAAGTAGAACGTAGGTTGGGGAAGGGGTGAGGGGACCAATAATTTTAAAATAAAATTGTATAGCTTTCATTATTAAGCTCACTAAAATCTCATGCCTCTAGACTTTGCATGAACATGGCACAAGTCTTCAACATCATTTCGATAAGGTTCCTTTTCCATGATTTTTTAATTTTTAATAATCGTGGTGTCCGAGTTACTTTGTACGCACCTTGATTAATTTAACGGGTAAATGCTATTTCTTACCGGCACAGGTATTACGTAATTTTATCCGTCAAAACCTGGACAGAAATCACCTAATATTTTTAGGTTTGCCGAGATTTGAACCTGAAACCTTTGGGAGCACGGAGCCCCTAATATTTTTCTACCGAGACTCTTGATTTTATAGTTTATACTTTCCCACCAATAATGATATCAAGTAGTCAGGTAGCTCAACTCATATCATCATGATGCGTGATCAAAAATTGGTTAAATAGTTATAGTCTTGCATTACAATTACTTAATAAGTTATATTTAGGTCTAGTCTAGCCTATAAATTCTTAATCAAATGGAAGGACAAACGGAATAACATATTGATAGAGTCTTAACGCCGACGACCGCTGAGTTATATATGTTGACAATATAAAATCTTTTATGTGCATTTTAATTGGTTATATTTGATAGATTATTGCTCTATTTTCAAGTAATTATATCAAACTTGCTATGGATAACTACCTCTTGTTATATATTAAAATTTGATAGTAAAAAGGCTTTATATATTGTTACTACACAAAAATTAAATTCCGAAGGAAAAAGAAGAAGTAGTTGTTATACTTATTGTACAACTCACTCTTGTTCTTAAGTAGGGAATTGATTTGTGTTTTCTATATTAGTATGTTTACCTAATATAAAAGAAAAAAAATATAAATAGTATCCACGAAAGGCGACCCTAACTCCACTATAAAATGAAATGGGAAATTTTGTTGTTTGTCTTTCAAAAGGTACTTAATAATTTATGGAAATTACTTGCCGTCTTGATCATGATTAATATTTTTATATAGTTTAAATGCAGCTATCATAAATTCAGGATCATTTTGCCAGACATATTTATAAGGCAATGGGATACATCGAGTACACCTAATCCCATTATTAAAAGTGCTTTAATATATTTGGCCGATCATCTAAAAATAATTACAATCGCTAATCAAATATAAAAAAATATTAAATATTATATACAAAAAAATTATATATTTTCGGCTATTATTTTGGAGGGTTATTATACGATGTAAATTTTCCTTATTAAAATATGAAAAAATGATACTGTATAACCGCTCTCAAAATAATAGCCGAAAATATATATACACACATATACATTCTTTATGTTATATACAAAAATTATACTAATTTTATATACTTTTTCGGCTATCAAATTTAAATAATTTATGACGAAGGCTAAAAATAATAATACCCTTTAAAATATTGAGATGAAGGGTCCATAATAAAACATTGTCACATGGTCAAATTCTATACGAATCAAGATATTAGTTAAAATAAATACTCTCTATGGACATAGTTGTTTCGTACTAAAGTAATATAGTCCTAAACAAGTAGAAACTTTTCCAAAACCAAAAAAAATAAATGATTCACAATTTTCCAATTTTCAAATGTCAAGATTCTAATACTATTATTTCATAGATTTTAATTAATATTTATCTATCTTTTAAAAATTTAAATAATGATTTGATGTTCATTTTATCAAATTAACTTTCTAATGATGTTCTTTCTCTTTTAAAAACCTAAACTAATATATAATGTAAAATCAAATAATTATTATTTTTTGATAACATTAATGTCTAGATCAGTATTATACAGGTGAAAAGAAATCACTCATGATGATTTGACTATATCCCTATTTGTTCCAACTTAATGGACCGTTAAGCAAAACTGTTATCTTAAATTCTGTTTTTAAATAATGTTATTAGGATTTGATAGAGTTGTATTAAATTTTTCGCAATTCTCCAGTTAACTCCTTAACCTTGTTTCACTTTTACTTCTTCACATTTCTGCAATTTAGCTTCACGTAAGTGATTCTCTTTTTCGACATTGGTTTGTCTCTGTTTTTTTCCAAGTTCTTCATATTCTTATAATGTTATAATGGTGAGATTATCGGATCTCATTGATCTAAATGAAGGAGGGACGACGAGGAAGTTTCTTTCAGATAAGAGAAATGGTGGTTAGTGTTTTCATTTCTCTAGTTGCAATTAGTGTAGGCTAATTTTGTAGTAGTAAAAAGTTGCAAAGATGTCATCTTTTAGCAAGGCTATATTTTTTTATTGAATTGTCCATATCTTGATTTTCATAGTTCCAAATTGAAGTGGCCATACATTCATGTTGAATTGACAGGACCAGTAACTAATCTGAGAGTATTTACTGATCAAACTTTGTTAGTTAATTTTTTTTTTCTTTTTTGGAAAATTCCCATGGAAACTCGCAGATGCTACCCTTCGAGTGCGCGTTGGAAACCGCACTAGGCAAGCTCCGCGCGACGAGCTCTGAAGGAATCGATCCCAGGTCTCACGTGTGGGAAACCACTTACCCAACCAACTTAGCCAATCCTCGCGGGCTAGTTACCTGAGTGTTATCACTTATCAATATCAGAGAGATTTCTGAACTACTTAAATTAGTTGAGTTCATAGTCTTTTCTTGGCTTAGTCAATAGAATGATCATTTGAATCCTGAAGTAGGGTGTTTTCTGCTTCTCCTCTAGCAAGTATAGCTGCAAAATGGCCGTTGTTTTTTGCATTCTTTAGGTAACATAAGATCTTGATATCTCTTTGGATTGATTTAATACATACTAGGTCGTTGAGATAGAGGGGCTAAACAGTATGTTTTCTTCATCTTCTTCTCTATTTACCGACAATGGTGAAACTAGGAATTTTTTCAAAGGTGTTTAAACTTGAAAGAAGTAAAAAAAATCCCTGAAAAAGAGCGTTCAATATATGTTATATACCTCTAAAATCTAATATTTTAACTATATACGTGTTGTAATTTTTCGACGAAGAATGGACAATTGACCATCCTTACCAGAGTGTAGCTTCGCCCCTGCTTACCGACTAGAAATATTATGATACATTCATTAATTCTGCAGGTGAGGAGGCTCCGCGAAATAGATTGGAGCAGCCAGTAGAGGCTTCCTGTAGCTTCTGCATTGAAGGAGATGACAATGCTCTGGTAATAATTTTGTTATGCTATTCTGGATTTATCAAAATTCCGGTTGCTTTATCTTGAAAGAGAAATAAGAACTATTTTGTGACAATCAAATGTGAAGTCATGCAGTAAAACATTCTATATTTCTCTCAACTTTACATAAAATTTTGTTTCCTTCCTTCTAGTGTCTCATTACATTAATATTGTTTAATTCTTTTCCATACAGTTTGTTATCACAAGAATGAAATGAGTCTTTGAATGAAAGTTCCAAGACATTTGATTCTCATTTGTTATTTGAGCTAAAAACGATTCACATTCTACATGTCTGTCAACTTTTACGTAACATTTGGTTTCCTTCCTTCTGGGGTGGCAAAACATTAATATTTAGTTTTTGTTTCCGACTACACTATGTTATTTCTTTGATATGTCACAAGAGTAAAATTGCTCTGAATGGAAGTTTTCAGACATTTGGTTCTCATTTAATTGAGCTTTTGAGAAGGGGAGCCTTGGGAGTAACGGCAAAATTGTCTCCGTGTGACTTATAGGTCACGGGTTCGAGCCGTGGAAGCAGCCACTAATGCTTGCATTAGGGTATTGCTGTCTACATCACACCCCTTGGTGCAGGATGCCTTGTGCACGGGGCTGCGCTTTTCTTTAGTTGAGCTTTTGCAGTTTAACTCATTACTTGCTCAAATACAGTGCGCTTATCACATGACAAATGAGTGGTCAGAGAAGAACTGTTATGTGAATGAGGCTCCAATGAAGAAACTGATCAGTGAAGAATTATCAAGAAGTAATCCAAATTCAGGACAGAATGCACCTAGTGTTGTCGCCCGTCTGATGGGCATAGATATGTTATCCGTGGATACAAAACCATCGACAAAGAAGGTCGAAAAGAAGAATGAGGTATGTAATATTGACAGACGGAGTAATAGCCTAAAGCTCAACAAACTTAAACCCCGAGAACATCCACAGGAAGAGGAACTACAAAAGTTTAAGAAGGAATTTGAAGCATGGCAAGCAACAAGGTTTAAGGAATGCTCAAAAATTGTTGAACTTGGCACCAATACCGATCAATGGTTGGCACAACGACGCCTGAACAAGGAAAAGTTGGTTCTTTACGCAAACTCAAAGAGACTTGATGTTTCTTCAACTCCTACAAAGATTGTAATTTTGAGGCCTGTTTGTGATAGGACGGGGAATAATGAAGAGTCATGGGCTAGTTCTCATAGCATATCCGAAGATGGGAGTAGTATAGAAGAATTTCTTCAGGAGGTTAAGGAAAGACTAAAATGTGAATTGCAAGTAAGGAATTTCAGAAGGAGCACTACTGTCATTGAGACCTCTTATACCAAAAAACCATCAGAAGCAAAGAAGATAGCTCAATCTATTTCAAAACAGGTGAGAGAGAGTGTTACAAGGGACGTTGGAACGACTCTAGCCCGATCAAAATCAATGAGGTCTTATAGAAGTGAAATTCAATGTGAAGGAACTGGTTCTCCTGATTTCACCAATAGTGATACAAGGAGATTTTTGGAAAGGAGCAGAGCTGAAGAAAGCAGATATATTGCTAATAAAGTGAGACATAGGGACCATATGAAAGACGAATCAGACATGCAGAGCAGATATTTCAGACAAGAGTTGAGTAATAATGTAATGCTTGACCAGGAACTATTTCATAGGAACCTAGTTAGATCTTTGTCTGCTCCTGTGTCGCGGTCATCATTCGGAAAGCTTCTCCTAGAGGATCAACATATGTTGACGGGGGCGCATATTAGGCGAAAACATGAAGCTTCCGAGAAGGTCAAAATACATGCCAAAAAATGTAGAAAGGAGAAATTCAACCTTAAGGAAAAAGTTTCCAGCTTTAAATATAGTTTTGTACTTAAAGGAAAGCTCTTTGGTAGAAAGATTCAATCTTTGGAGGAATCAAATGGAAACAAACAGATTCACATGAAAGATCTTCTGAGCACACAAACTGTTGCATCCAAATTTCATGTAAGAAGCTTCAAATGTACTTTCCTTTTCTACTAACTCATAAGAAGAAAAGAGAAGAAAAATGTTGAAATTTACATCTCAAATGTGCTGATATGTTATCGATATCTAACTTTTAGTATCTTATTTGGCCCTAGGAGAATTCTACTGAGGTGCCACCAAGTCCTGCATCTGTATGTAGCACTACCAATGAAGAAATTTGGAGGCAAACAGATTGTTTCAGCTCATCATCAACCTCAGATATACATCCGCCGGATGATAGTGAAATGCCTCATGTTTTCAAAGAGATAAGCTCTAATCTGAATGGTATAAGTAAAAACTTGTCTAAATTTGTACATCTGCTAGCTGCATTCATAGTTTATGATACATTTCAGGCATGATTACCATTTGACATGAGATGGACTTAACAGTTTATATATTTGTCCGACGCTGATGAGGTAAGGATTGTCCAAGATTGTATAAGTAGTCCAAGTTACCCATCTTGAGCCGATGGGGGACTCCACTCCCCTGCACACCCAAGATTGGACATCTGGAGCGTGGACAATATAAAATAGGTGCCCAACATCGGGTAAATAATGAGATGGGCTAGACTCTAATACAGTGATAAATGAACCTTGGGCCTAACTCAATATCAAAAGGTAGCTCATGAGTTGAGGATTTTCCAAGACTATATGAAGAGTCCAAGTTATCATCTTGAGCCAATGTAGGACTCAACACAATTGCCTTGAATCATTAACCTACACTTGATGATTTTCCAAGAATCGCATGCCTTTGTCGCCCTTTTAACTTAGTGGCTTTCTTGATTGCACAAGAATGGGCTACTAATTCAAATACTATTTCATGAATGTAGAATTGCATTCAAGTTTTAATGAAGTTAAATGATATTTTGTAACTTTTCATAACACAGAGCTAAGGAGGCAATTGAATCAGCTAGAAACTTATGACTTTGAGGAGACAATGATTGATGATCAGTCTGTCGAAGAGGAGATAATGGAGATTGACGATCCTGCTGAATCGTTCGTTAGAGATCTTCTTGTTGCTTCTGGTTTATACGATGGTTCATGCGATAAATATCTATCAAAATGGGATCCACTCGGAAAGCCTATCAGCAAACAAGTTTTTGAAGAAGTCGAAGCGTCTTACAAGAAAAAGACAAATGATATTGAAGATGCATCTACTATTGATCAATTCCAGAAGTTCAATCACAAGTTGTTGTGTGATTTCTTGAATGAAGTACTTCGGGATGTACTTGGAGTACCTTCCACAGTTTCAAGTTCTATGAAAAGTACTATTGCTCTGACTGCACGACCTCTACCTCTACAGGGAAAAAAGTTATTAGAATGTGTATGGGAAATTGCCCGAGTTTATGTGGATATGTCATCTCAATCTTTCGAAACTATACTAGCCCGAGACTTGCAATCCACACGTTGGGCTGGATTAGTTGATGAAGATGTTAATGCTCTGGGAAAAGATATTGAACACCAGATTATTGGTGATCTTATTCATGAAATGATCAATGATATGAAGCCATAATTTTGTTCTGTCTTGCTCTTCTATATTTCTATTATTCGTAAGTTTGCGAGAGGGGGGAAAATAGGTGCTTCTCATGACTCGTGAAAAAGTTTCGGAAGCAGACAATATCATACCATACTAAGAGTGTTTGCTGATAGTCTAATTAGCCCAACATTTCCTCCAAAGAAAGATTGAGATTGAGAACCAAATATTAGGTGATACAATTCAGAAAGTCAAGTGTGTTATAGAGTCATAAAACTTGAGGTGGGGCTGTGGTCCATGCAGATCAGCCTATTGATGCAATGATAAAATGTTTTTGAATATAACTTTGCTATGTTGGTCTTGGACATGGGGCCACTAATTTTTGGCTAGCGCTGAAAAATATTATTATTATTACAAGATCTTGATCAACCAAAGGAGCTAAATTTTTATTAGGAGTAAAATCGAATTTACCCCCTTAACCTTTAGGGGTTGAGAAACGATACCCCCTTAGATTTTGAATGGTATCTTTCTGGTGAAACATTTTTTTTTTGAATAAAAATCTTTTCTTTTTGTTGAAAAAATAATTTTTAGAATAATCAAGTTCATTCATTATAGCCAAAAGCTCTACATATGACAACAATTAGGATCTATATAATTTTCGAAGTGCCCCTTTAGCCTTTCCTGTATAGTTTAGGTTATGATATGATGCAAAAACGCCTACATAATGAATTTTCAAATGTGACCTTCGTACTCATAGCAACAATTCTTTCATCTAATATATATGTCACATAATTGACTAATTCTTTATATTTTTTCCCTTCTAATTGAAATACTAAAGCATCCATGGTGGATGTGCGTTTAACATATTTCTTGAATTTTTTTATATAAATATTTTTTATTGCAGTAATTTTAACAATGACCTCAATATAACCTCAATATAAAAGAAAAATATTTTAAATTCTGCAAGCAAGAAAGACGAAACTCATGTATTTGTTTGGATGAAAATTTTTATACTTTGTCATTGAAAGGATAAAGAGAGAAAAAAATTCTTTAGTCAAAAAAAGAAATTCTCACAGAAAAATAATTGCATAAGGGGGTTCCTTTCCCATTTAAAAGGTGAGTCATGTATCGTTTTTCAACCACTAAAGGTTAAGAGGGCAAAGTGAATTTTAGTTTTTTATTAGTGTAGCTAACATAAAAGGCAAAGAAAGAAAGAAAAGAAACTGAACGGATTATAAATTTTGGATCCTATAAAAGCAAAGTATTGGAATGAAAAGCATGTGTATTTGATGAGCCTCCAATGGGTTGAATTGAATTAAGTGTTTGAAATAGTGGTGCTGTTGCATTAACAAGTGGTGCAGAGGAACCCATTTATGCAGAGGAAAAAAAAGGATCTTGCATAGTTTACATATTAGGGTGTGGTTTTGACTCTAATACCATATAAAAATAAAGAATTGGAATAAAAAATCTGTATATTTGATGAGCCTCCAATAGAATTTATATACGAAGAAACCAATTTTGCTAAGCTAACTTCTAGAAAGTAGAAAACAATAATCAGTATAAAATAACCCCTAAAATGTAGCAAAAGATAATCAGTATAAAAACAAACTAATTGAAGAAGATAAAAAATAACTAATACAAAACTACAACCTAAAATAACTTAGCAAAGACTCATCCAAATCTAACAGCTAGTGTTGTGATATAATAATAGAAGTACACCTGTACATGTGCTATTACATCTTCTGTGAGCATAGCCTCAAAATCTCAAATTCTCAATGTCACATTTTATTTAACTTTTTTCTCGAATTCCCTTGATTTTTTTCCTTACCCCTTCTTCACTTTCTCGAGCCTTACTCTTTTTCCATATAGCTAACTGCTCAATAAATTCAAAATTATAATATGACGATTTGAATAGTGCATGGACCCGATGAGGCAATAAGAATTACTTTTCCGTTGCAAATTATGTTACACATTTTCCTCTTTTATTTGTCCCGAAAAGAATGCCTAACTTTCTATAATTAGAAAAAATTTAACTTTAAAATTCTTATCTTATTCTTAATGAGATAATTTTAGCTATACAAATATGTAAAACTTATTTTAGACCATAAATTTTAAAAGCTTTTTTCTCTAACTTTGCTATCTAATCAAACGATGCCACATAAATTGAGAGGAGACATTACTCTACTTTCTTGCATGAAAAGGTAATTATATGGCGGAGAATGGCAGTGAACGCAGTGGCCTAGCCAGAGATAAAACCAAAATTTAAAGTTTATGAGTTCAGAATTCTAGTCATTTTGTGTTGTTGGATTCTTAATTAATAATTTGTACATATTCAATAAATTTTAAGATAAATACATTGTTTAAACAAAAGCTACTGAGTTCGGCCAAATCCGTAACTTGTACATTGGCCCCACCCCTGGGCCCAGCCACGTGATGCGGCGGTGCCGTGGAAGCGCACTTGATGTCAAAAGTCGGTGATGCACCGGACCTGCCTCAAGAAAATTTACAATGTAGAAAATAATGTGATGTTGAGGCTATATACGGGCCCCCACTGTAAGTTAAGTCATACTATATCAATGAACAATTTTGAGAAATCACTATTGTTTAGTTAACTTTCTATAACTGTTATATATATAATTATTTCTTATAGCTACTATTCAGTTGTTACGGTAGTGTATTCGCTGTATTCGCGTTGTTGTATTTATGAATACAACAATAAAAAGCACTTGAAAATCAGGGTAGTGCAGCTGTACGCACATGTATTCACACCATGTATTCATGAATATAACAACAAAAAGCGCCTAAAATCAGGGCAGTCCAGCTGTACGCGGATGTACTCACATGTATTCGCGTTGCTGTATTCATGAATACAACAGTAAAAATCGCCTAAAATCAGGGCAGTCCAGCTATATGCGCATGTATTCACATGTATTCATGAATACAGTAACGTCAATCACCTTAAAAATATGTATGTCCAGTTGTCTAAGAAAGAGGAAAAACATAAATAGCGTATTTCATGCCTTAATGATAGTATATACCATAAATACTTATTTTGCGATAAAATATAAAAGGTAACTATAGAAAATAATATTTTAAAATAATTTTGATTTATAATAAATATGGTGTATATCTTTTAGGTGGTAAAATTTCCTAGATCAATAGCACTAAAATTCTTACTTCACTATTTTGCATTTGGTAAGAAGCATTTGTTAATATCAAGAATGTGGTGGGATGGTTCAAAGTAGTAATTCATTCACCTTTATAGAGTTTTTAAATTGATAATTAAAGAGTGTTTTATTCTCTCATTAATCTACCTAGCGTGAATCAAATAAATATATTGAGTGATTCTTGGATATTGCTAAGCTCTCCCCCCCCCC